ACGGTGGGTGGCGACTCAGACCATTTCCCGGTGGTAATGGGGCTTCATCAAGGATCTGCACTTAGCCCTCTCTTATTTGCTTTGGTGATGGATGCTATAACACGCCATATTCAAGGGATGTGCCATGGTGTATGCTATTTGCTGATGACATAGTCCTGATAGACGAGACGAGGGTCGGTGTTAACGAGAGGTTGGAGGTCTGGAGGCAGACTCTCGAGTCCAAGGGTTTCAAACTAAGCAGGGCTAAGACGAGTACCTGGAGTGCAAGTTTAGCGCCGAGCCGAGCGAAGTAGGCAGGGACGTCAAGCTTGGATCTCAGGTCATCGCCAAGAGGGACAGTTTCAGATATCTTGGGTCGGTGATTCAGGGGGACGGAGAGATCGACGGGGATGTCACTCACCGTATAGGGGCGGGGTGGTCGAAATGGAGGCTTGCATCAGGAGTCTTGTGTGACAAGAAAGTGCCACAGAAACTCAAGGGGAAGTTTTATAGAGCTGTGGTTAGACCTGCCATGTTGTATGGGGCTGAGTGCTGGCCGGTGAAGAACTCCCATGTCCAGAGAATGAAGGTTGCGGAGATGAGGATGCTCAGGTGGATGTGCGGGCTCACCAGGTTAGATAGGATTAGGAATGAAGTTATTCGGGAGAAGGTGGGGGTGGCCCCAGTAGATGAGAAGATGCGGGAAGCGAGGCTCAGGTGGTACGGGCATGTGCGGAGGAGAAGCCCCGATGCCCCGGTNAGAGGTTGGAGGTCTGGAGACAGACTCTCGAGTCCAAGGGTTTCAAACTAAGCAGGGCAAGGACAGAGTACGTGGAGTGCAAGTTTAGCGCCGAGCCGAGCGAAGTAGGCAGGGGCGTCAAGCTTGGATCTCAGGTCATCGCCAAGAGGGACAGTTTCAGATANAGGGTCGGTGTTAACGAGAGGTTGGAGGTCTGGAGACAGACTCTTGAGTCCAAGGGTTTCAAACTAAGCACGGCAAAGACAGAGTACGTGGAGTGCAAGTTTAGCGCCGAGCCGAGCGAAGTAGGCAGGGGCGTCAAGCTTGGATCTCAAGTCATCGCCAAGAGGGACAGTTTCAAATATCTTGGGTCGGTGATTCAGGGGGACGGAGAGATCGACGGGGATGTCACTCACCGTATAGGGGCGGGGTGGTCGAAATGGAGGCTTGCATCAGGAGTCTTGTGTGACAAGAAAGTGCCACAGAAACTCAAGGGGAAGTTTTATAGAGCTGTGGTTAGACTTGCCATGTTGTATGGGGCTGAGTGCTGGCCGGTGAAGAACTCCCATGTCCAGAGAATGAAGGTTGCGGAGATGAGGATGCTCAGGTGGATGTGCGGGCTCACCAGGTTAGATAGGATTAGGAATGAAGTTATTCGGGAGAAGGTGGGGGTGGCCCCAGTAGATGAGAAGATGCGGGAAGCGAGGCTCAGGTGGTACGGGTATGTGCGGAGGAGAAGCCCCGATGCCCCGGTGAGGAGTTGTGAGCGGCTGGCGGTGGTTGGTGCGAGTCGAGGCAGAGGGAGGCCCAAGAGGTATTGGGGAGAGGTGATTAGGCAGGACATGGCTAGAATGCGGATTTCCAAGGACATGGTCCTTGATAGGAAAGTCTGGAGGTCTAGTATCAGGGTTGTAGGATAGGGGCTTCTAGAATTTTTCGTACTTCTGTACCGGGGCTGGGGGGGGGGGGGGGTTGGTAGGGCTCTCCATAGATGATCTGTGTGTTGTATTGTGCCCCCTTATGGTAGTTACTGGTCGATATATTTGCATGCCATTTTATTTATGGTTTATATTTAGATAATTATTTATGTGATTTCTGCTGGAGTTACTTATGCTCTTTTGATTTTTGTTTTTGTTTTCCTTTTCCTTTTCCCGAGCCGAGGGTCGATTGGAAACAGCCTCTCTGCCCTTTCGGGTAGGGGTAAGGCCTGTGTACGTATTACCCTCCCCAGACCCCACCTTGTGGGACTATATTGGGTAGTTGTTGTTGTTGTAATTTCCACATGAAATTAACGCTGGTGCATACAACCATTATGACATAGGCATTGCAATGATCATTTAGAGCCCATCAGTAGAATTATCGAATGAATATGGTGTTATATTTTGCATCGGTGCATTAGATAAATTTGAACAATTTCAAGATTGGGTTATTTTTTATTGGGGATAATGAAACCAATCTTGTTAGCAAGTGCACAAATGATGTCCGACTGGAGCTATCAAACCAAGGGCTAAAGCCTCTCTCGCGGCAACCAGTAGTGTAGCCAGGAATTTATATAAAGGGATTCAAAAAATACTAGAATCTCATAGTTTACTGAGATTTAAACTTGTGACTTAGCGGCTAGCGTAACATTAAACCCCCTTTACCAAAGCACTAGAATTTTTTCTTTTTTTTTGAGAAGGCAAAGCACTAGAATTTTTTCTTTATGTCAACGGGATTCAATAGTTTATATATAACCAAAAAAAATTCCCCTATTTGCCATTATAATATTTCGATGAAGGTGATTCAATTGAACCTCCTTCCTTCTCTTACTAGCTCCGCCCCAGGTGGCAACCTATCTTCGGTCAATGGTAATATTAACAAGTGAAAGCATAAGACTTGGAAAGGACTTTGCTAATCATAACAAGCTCTTACCTTCATTCAGGAAACTGAACGACAAGCTTGAATGGAAGCCGGTAAAGGCCAGAATGGTCAAAATTTCCTACGCTAGTGAAATCAAAAGAAAATTTTCCCTCTCATTGTGGATAATATTCTTCTCTAATATGATGAATCTCCAAATATTAAACAAATATGATTCATATATCCAACCCTAACTAATTGGGATAATACATCGTTGATTGATTGAGTTTAAGACTTTAAGTAATCCTATCTTTCATAGCGATAGTTACTGGATCATTGTTATTTATCAACAAAAAAAAAAGGAAGTTACGGGATCATTTTTTACATCTAATACCAAAGTCACTCGGCACTTAAAGTCTAAATGAAACTAGTCTATTTTACACAAAGCTCCAAAACGCTTCCAAAAGATTCAAAACCCTTCTTGAACACTTACCCCAAAATGCACCAAGCTCTCTTTCTCGTCAATTACAGTTGACTTAGTGACGAGAAGTCTATTTTATTAATAATATTATTAATTGTATTTTTCTTATTGTGAATTGTGACTAGAAGTCCTTTTTGTAGTGATAATTATAATCTTAGTTTATTCATTAACTTTTTTCACTGTCACATTCAAAATATCCATGAAAATAAACAGATATACTATGTGATTAGTAGCAACTTTATGTCAAAGGAAGTGAGCAACGACGACCTTAAATCATAGGTCTGCCACTGAACATTATTCTCTTGAAAAGTTTGTTTGCCAACTAAAGGCAGAATAGCCTAAATGGCACTTCTACTTGTCCTCCTTTGTCATCCCGGTCCCGATACTCTACTAAGTTTCATCTAGACACTCGTAATTTTCAAAACACATTACTTTAAACCCCTCTGACCGTTGACCAAGCCTATGTGGCAACTTTAGGACTGAGTTGGACAAAATTCGTGAATTTCACGCGCATAACGAGAGTTAACATAAAAATTTATACTAAAAATGATTAAAATAAGAAAGAAATAAAAAAAAAAAGTAAAAAACAAGGGACAAAAAAAAGAAAATATAAAATATCTCTGTTATTTCTTCTTTCTTCTTCCCCACCCCCACCCCCATTTCTTTTTCTCTTTCTTCCCCTCCCCCTTCCCGTTCTCCTTTCCCCACCCCCCACCCCCCACACCTGCACCCCCTTCCATTCTTCCCCAAAACATATCTCCTATTTCCCCCTTCCCGTCGCCTGCCCCCTCCCCCCTCCCCCCAACCAGCACCCCCCTTCCATTCTTCCCCAAAACCTATCTCCCATTTCCCCCTTCCCGTCGCCTACCCCCCCCCCCCAATCAGCACCCCTCCCCCTAAAGAGACTAACAACTGTAAACATATATCTTGCTTTTTCTTTTTTCCTGTTTCTTTTTGTACGTATATGCACGTACAGCAGCAAAGTTAGTTCATTAAAACACTACAAGGCTCTTAGAATTGAATGAGCACTACAATATTTTTAATGGTGTTCTTCGGTGACCGGAGGAATTTTCTAGCGATGGCAGTGGAGTTGTTGGTGGTAAGGGGAAGAGATAGTGGAGTAAGGAAAAAAATAAAGATAAAGTCAATAGTTTATTTTCCTATGTGGCACTAGTAATGACGTGGCATCCTACGTGTAGGAGATTGTATTACACACACAGCAGCCTCCTGTCATAAGCGTTTATTATACACGGTTTGAACGAGTGTAAGTGTTCAATTGGCAAAATGGTAAGTTTGGGGACCGGCATGACAAAGTGGCACAAGTATAAGTGCCATTTAGGCTATTCTGCCCCAACTAAATATAGATGATTGTTAAATGTATCAGAGCTATAAGTTACTGTATCATTTCACAAAGTCACTCAGCATTTGAAGTCTATACCTATAACGATAACAAAGAAAAGCACCCTTCACCTCAGCCAAATTTGAGCCAAAAAACTCAGTTTCTCCATAATTTAAAAAAAAAAGTAAAAGATTGGTTCCATTTTTATCCTATCGAAACATCCAAACAACTTAGGAACCCAACATACCACACCACGCCAGATTAAGGCATAACATACAAATCCATCCAGAACTGCCACAATCGACAATTAAAGGTCATTTACCAAATTAAGTAAATGAGCAGAAACAATAATTTCTTTATTCCCTCAGCTGGAATCATGCTGAAAGAAAGCTCCACCACTACCCACTCGAGCCGTAAGTACCAAATGACAAAATGAATAATCAAATAAAAACAAAACTCAAATTACTAACTCTTTTGTCCTCTGAAAAACTGAAATTACCAATTTCAGCGCAAACCCCTAACTGAATCGAAGCAATATAATTACACACTTAGCAATTAATTCTACACCGAATATTAAAAGAAAATTACTTCCAAAACTATACTGAGCAAAAGTAGAAGAATAAAACCTGAAAAAGAATTGGCTCTCTTAGGGTTTCGAATTAATGTCCTCGATTCGGCAAATATGAAAATTATCGGCGAATAATGGCCGGACCGTAAAAGACCTCTTTGTATATTTTCTGCCTCTGCTTTTTTTTTTTCTTTTTTCTTTTGAATTGGGAGAGAGAGGGTTTTACAGTCCCATGCGGTTTGCTGCACACCTCGACTTCTCTTGGAATTTTAGATTTTCACTTTCTTCTCGTTGTAAAGTTTATTTGCCAAATAAAAATAGATGATTGGTACATGCCCTTTATACTGCTAGGGGTTTCAAAAGATATGAATTTACTCAATATAACTAATAATAGAATAAATAAAGAGTAAAAATATATTTAAGAACTCGAGAAAAGTAAATAAGCCTCTTTCCATGGTGGAAGCGTATCTATCACCTTATTTGCTATCTCATCCACAACATATGCCAGAACATGAAAAAATAATGTGTATCATTTGTGTATTACATATGTATCATATTTATATCAAATGTGTATCATATGTATATTCATGTATAACTGTGTGTGAGATACATGTTTGATAAATGTCTCGCAGAAGAATTTTTTGAACTCTTTTTTAAAATACGAATTGTGATACCAAATTAACCAAATCACCTCCAATCTTTCTCAAATTTTGTATATTGACTCATCTATATATTTTCAATAAATTTCAATCATACCTATTGAAAAATATCCTTTTTTGCTCAGATTTTTGGAATCATATATATATGTATATTTCATCACCTTATTTGCTACCTCATCCATGAGTTTTTTTTTCCGTCTTACATCTAATATTGTTGATCACACTTAAAAATATGAAAGGAGATCTTTGCGTGTGATTCTTGGAGAGAAAGAACCTTATTTATTTAGGTTTTAATTTTTATATGTGCTTAGCTAGTTTGGTAAGTATATAATTAATAGCTAGAGGTTGGTAATTTGGGACTTATTCGGGACATTTATGTAAAATTCCCTTTTTTTCCTTTTGAAAAGGTTCAGCTAGACAAAAAGTATGCATTCTTTTTAGCTTGAAAAAATGAGGTCCAGATCTTGTTCTACTTCCGCGTATCATTCTAAACTTATATTTATTACTTTTGTCACGACCCAAATTCCACCATAGAGGTTATGATAGCGCCTAGTCTGTAAAATTAGGTAAAGCGATTATTTTCAACAGTTAAACCAATAAAACATGCTAATAAAGCATAGTTTAATATAAATACGAAAATAAAGGTTATAAAAGTCAACACGGCGATAATCACAACATATCCCCAGAACTAGGTAGACCGAAGCCTAACTTAATTTTGAGAAAATACCACATATGACATGACCGATCAATAGATCCACCTTTGTCATATATATCCATTTATAGTTAGCTTATTAAAAAAATTGATCAATTCATAAAATATTACTAATATTAGACAAATATTACCAATATTAACCAATTATCTATTTTGTAGCCAAAAAAGGTCAAATTTTTGCTTTTTTTAGTGGGTGTTATTAAAATAGATTGGGTACATCTTAAGGAGCCTCAATCTCAGTTTTGGGATGATTTGGCGGAGTTTTGAGGTGGATTGAATTGAAAATTCAAAGTAGAAGATGAACATGAAATATTATGTGTATCACACTGTGTATCATATATGTATCATATTTATATCAAATGTATATCATATGTATATTCATGTATAACTGTGTGTGAGATACATGTGTCGCAGAAGAACTTTTTGAACTCTTTTTTTAACTAAGAATTGTGATACCAAATTAACCAAATCAGCTCCAATCTTCCTCAAATTTTGTATTGACTCATCTATATGTTTTCAATGTATTTCAATCATACCCATTGAAAGATATCCTTTTTTGCTCAGATTTTTGGAATCTTATATATAT